CGACCACACACACACACACACTTAGACACCACACCCCGCAAGCAAATACCAGAAATCAGGCAAGCAAGCAAACAAGCAGAGCGAAAAAGAAAAAAAAAGGAAAAAAAGAAAAAAACGGGCAAACCACAAAAAAAAAAAAAACAGCCATTTTTCAAATCCGTCTCGGGCTATTTTAAACTACCGGTGATAATAGTATCATAACGTGCCGGTTTATGATATCTCTTTTCTTTGCTTGCAGGCGTGTGTTGCACACCTTGTCTTGTAGCGTAATCAGGCCAATACCAGTGGTAGATTATGTCTTGCCAATCCATGCTAAGCTGGCTCGGCTAGTTAAGCTACTGTAGATATTATAGCTAGCTAGCTAGCTACCGTACACTACTAGCTAATTACTGTAAAACTGTAGCTAACCAGCTATCGCAAGTGGAATACTCGTACTTGCACCACAGATCTTATCTAAATTATTCTACTCTAGAGTGATGATAGCCACGGCCTTACAAGGTCCAGGCACAGGTACAGGTACAGGTACAGGCACAGGTACAAACAAGTACGGTAGATGAGTTAAATTACAGTATGATATTATACCGCAAAGTACGGGCACTCCTACAGTACAGTACATACTCGAGTACAGGGTCGGACGATCGGTCCCTCGGCTCGGTCCCGTTTGGTCCAGAATTTGCGAGGTGGTTTCCGGGGTTGTGACCGCACAGTGCTGTACCTCAGTTAGCTAGCACAAGTTACTAGTACGGTACAGTATATAGTGGGCCGCCGCCGCCGCCGCCGCCGAGAAAGGTGAGGGAGGGAAGGAGGGAGAGAGGAGCGAGCGGTGAGGGGGCCATCGCATCGCAACTGCAAGAAGCTAAGATGAGTGGGAAAACTGATGGACTAAATAGTTTTTGAAACGGTGTTTACTTTCTTCGACCTCCTCACCTCTGCCATAATTAGTCTATGGTATAGTATCTCCTGGAGATGGGAAGAGATGTTGGTCAACTGTACTTGTACTGGTGCTCGATCATAGTCTAACAGACCCTGTGCGGGCTTCATTCATTCATGCTACATACGCACAGTGCAATATGGGAGGGGAGGGACTGTTATTCCCCACCTCGGACTGTGACAAAGCGTCGCGGTAGACTGCCGTGCATAAATTTATAACCATGATGGCAAGACTCAACTCAACTCAACTCAACTCAACTCCTCCAAAATACCATCGCATCATACATCCATACAACAATAAAAATAAAAAATAAATTGAAAAAAATGATGGAAAAGAAAAGAAAAGAAACCAATCACGTGTCACCGCATGCCATCCATCCATCATCCCAATAAGTTGATCCGAGATATCACAGACAGGACAGGACAGAACAATAAAATTTAGTCTAACTTTCCGAGCAGGTTAATATCATACTTGTGTAAAATATGATAAATAAATGAATAAATAAATCCAATGTCCGATCGTCGTACCCTACCCTACCCTACCCTACCCTATCCTACCTTTAGCTACCGTACCACGATATGATAGTATCATAACTCATCATACCGCGCGCGGTAGGCTCGAACACCGCGGTATTAGACTGCCGGCGTGCAGTGCTCGAGTTATTATATCGTGGAATCTGTCAATCAATCGACACGCTGCGCAGTCTGTATCGTGCGGTACGGTACGGCGAGAGGGCGGAAGGAACGAACCCTGTAAGCGCGATATTCTAAATGAATAAATGATAATGGTAACGAAAAGAGGAATACTCTACTATAGGATAAAGTCGAGTGAAATGGTACCGGTAAAGGGAAGGGAACAAAAGAGAAAAAAAAAAAAAAAAAAAAAAAAAGTCACACCATTGTGCATTCCTAGTTTTTTTTTTCCTCAACTTTTCAACTTTCTTTTTTTTTTTTCCCTTACCCCTCTCCACCCCAAATGTAGCCACCCGTTTTGTCGTCTAGCTGATGGAGGGAGTTTTTTTCTTTTTTTCTTTTCCCTTTTTCACCCTTTCTGTTTTTTCACCCTCCCATTTTTAATCTTTCATTAAATTCTCATTTCATTTTTTTCCCCTTCCCTAGTCCACTCCCCCGCTTGCCCTTCCCTTTTCTTCTTCCACAATATCAATGCTAACCCCATTGGCTGTACGCTACGCGGTGTGAATCTAAATAGATACTGGGAAGGGAAGCATGGGAGCAACGGGAAAAGTTTATCCCCTTCTCGATTGAAAAAAAAAAAAATCGTAAAAAAAATCAGCGTTTGATGAGCGGGCTAGGCACCTTTAGTTACACGGTATATCCTTATGCGCATACACATGCCTCAAACAAACTCCTATGAACCGCTACACAAGCTAGGAAAAGCGAAACCACAGTACACAGTAAAGGCAAAGGTATGGAGAAGAAAAAGAAAAAAAGAAAAAAAAACTAACTTTACAATCACTCCCTCATGGCTTTTATCATACCTTTCGTGTACCATAGCCGCCTCGGACAACCGTAATCAACATCTTTTGGGTGGTTTGAAAGACAACACCTGGGGAAAAAAGTAACATACAGAACATACAGAAAAAAATGTGTAAAAAAGGTTACAGAAGAAATCATGTTGTAAACGCCAAAATGCGGAGGGAAAAAAAGAGAAGAAGAAAAAAAACACCCCTAACCCCACCAAAAGAAAGAGATAGAGAGAGAAAGGCTTTCAAAACTTTTGGTTTGCTTTCACCGGACAACAATTCTGAGGGGCTTGAATTTCCCACCAACAGCTCTGCATTCCCCGCAGCTTCCCCTCCTTCCAGAGTTGAAAGCACACTCGTCGCAGAATCCGGACATGCATTCCGTGCACGCGAAAGCCTCGTGGATGGGCGTGAGGTTTTCACAAGTAGCGCACAAGAGCCTGCGGGGGCCCGACATGGGGAATTCGGAAACTGAAGTGGATGGTGGTGAAGCAGTGGGTGCTAGCGAAGGGTGAGATGACGATGCGGTCGCAGGAGGAGACAGTGGAGTTTGCTGTTGTAAACGTCAGAAAAAGATTCAAGCTATATCATCAACGCAACCGGGGAACCCACCGGAACATGACTATATTCGTGATGGTGGGATAGGTGATGATGGAAGGGCTTCGGGTCGATTGCTACAGCACGGGTGGTTGCAGCTTCGATGAGCTCATCCCAACGAGAAGCATTGGAGGACTGGGTGCTGGAATTGTCGGCGATGGCGCCGGTCTCGGGACTGCTGGTGGCGTAGGATTGACGCTTTCGCTTCAAAGTGGTCGAGGGTTTGCTGGTTCGGAGGGGAGGGAGTTGGGACTGCAAATGATTGCGGTGGTGATTGTGGTGAAGCAATTGATGGCGGTGGGGGTTGTGAGGGCCATCGTCGCTATCATCCTCCGTGTCCTAAATGGTCGGAAAATTAGCCATCGAATTCCGAGTGGCATGATAACATATTTGAAACAAGGTATTATTAATCCACGAACGCGATGTCATAGCACAGCGAAGCTAGCGCACCGTGCATGGAGTTCACACGAGGGAATTGTGAGACATAGCTTGCGGTCACAAATGGCACGGGGACGGACCAATGAGAAGCATCGGAACTGCTATCGTTGCTGGCGGAGCGAAAAAAATGCTCCGTCATTGGTCTGCACCCCGCACCTCTGGGTGGGAACAACGCTGGCTCTCGGGAATGGAAGAGCAAGGAAAGGCACTTACAATATCGCTGCGTCTAGAGCGCATCTCCTCCTCAAGGTCGTCTTCCTCCACGAAATCGTGATCCTCTTCGTCACCGTGCTCCTCGTAATCGGACATCACGGCTGGGAACTTTGACTGGAAAGTGACGGGATTCGTAGACAGGGATATCGAGGGAAGAGTTTCCGATTCGTTTGCCGGCGATGGAGGCGACATGCCGTCGGCGAACTGCTCATCTTCATGCTTGGAAAGAGCTACAACGGGGTTAGCGGGACGGCTCGACAGTCAAATTCCGAAGGGAACTGGGACATCTCGCTGCGAAGATGTGTACGCGGAGAAGGGCCTTTGGGTAGCCCAGTTCTAGCTGACCTTTTCCAGTCCTCCTAAACACTGTCATGGTGGGAGCGGCCGGCATGTGCTGAGGCCTCCTGACATGAAACTGGGGGTTCACAGCACTCGCCGGCGGAGCCCTGGAAGGTAGGTTGACCATCTTTGCAAACGTTTCGGGGCTCGCTGGAAGCTTTGGAATCCAATTATCCGGATGTGCCCGTCGAATATGCTCGCAGATGGACCGGTAAGCAAAGTTCTGGGAGGAAGAAAAGAGTCAACATGGTAAACACAGCCCTCGCACAGGCGTAAAGCCCCAGGATGACCTACACCAACGCATTTCTTCCTGCATATCGAGCCATCAGCATTGAGCAATGGGCACACGACTTCCCCGTGTCCCCCATTGCCGACAATTCCGCCCCCGGCGTACATCTTCTTCACGACCGTGGCCGGATTCTTCGAGTTCAATGGGGATTTAGCCGCAGCTGGCATGCTGTCGATTCACCGTGCTCGGGTGAGGATTCGATTGGGGTTGGGAGAGATGGGACGACGATCGAGTGATGGAGAAGAGACGATGCGATGAGAAGAAGGGTTGGGACGGTGTCTTGACTCTTGGGTTGCCAGTGGTCGGGGAGGCGGAGAAAGTGCAAGACAGGATAAAAGAGCACACAGAAACGGGGCCCGGGGGGAGGGGGAGAAAGGAAAAATGAGGAAGGAGAGGAGGAAAAAGTAAGGAAAGAGACAGGTAGAAATCGGGACACGGGGAGGAGAGGAGGGACAGGCCGAATTTGGATGATAGCTTTCCTCTCCCCCCCTCAAAAGCTAGCTCTCGCGCGGGTCTCGCGTTTGATTGGACGAAGCTCCGGGGTGACGAGCTGTGCGTGGGACTTGGCGGAGGTGGGGGGGAGAAGAGGGAAGGGGAGAAAGCAGAAGAGGGACTTGAGGAAAAGGGAGAGGGGGGGGCTGTACTCTCCTGTACCGTACATAGCTGTACTGTACGTAATCGGCAGTTGCTATTCAGTGTCCCCGCGGCCGGCGACTTTGGTTGTGAAAATTTTTCCTCCCGCCTAGCCTCGACTCCACCCTGCAAACAAAGAGCTCGAAAGCTGCAAAGGCTAGAGCTGTTGCGGTATCCGCACTCGTGATGCTCGGGGCGAGCAGAAGGATGGTGAGGATGGGTAACTTGGAGCACAGTACAGTACCGTAGATGAGACTCGAGCCTCAACACCACCGGTACCGAGTAGCTACAGCACGGTACCAGCACACGTACTCGAGTACTCGTGCCCAAAGAGACCCAAAGCGTCAACAGGTCCTCATCACCGCTCCGACACTCCCCACGGCGGTGCCCACAGTTCCCAGTATCACAGCTGTTACAGTACCGGTACAAGTATTCCATTTCACTTTTTTCTTCTTCTCCTTTGGCTTGTCGCAGGCGTATGGCACGGGTATCATTATATCACAACGGACGCAGCTTTCCCCGCCCCTTCGCATGGTATCATACAATTCTCGTATCGGCATATTCCCTTCCCATAATCCCCAACGTCGGGCGTGAGGAGGCGAGGAGAGAGCGAGGAGGAGGAGGAGGAGTAGGAGGAGGAGGAGAAGAAAAACTTTTCTTTTTCCTCTTTCCTTTTTTTCTGACCTTTTTCTTTTTTTCCTTCCTTTTTCTCTCTTCTCTCCTCTTTTCTTTTTCCTCCTCCCTCTCTCTCCCTCTCTTCCCTTCTTTTTCCGCCGTTGACATTTACACGCGCTGGATGCATGTCAAAGCTCCCTGATAAGAAGCTAACCCAGCAGCAGGAGCTACGGGCACAAACCCCTCCCTTTCTGCCCACCTCGGGTATGTCAACCTGGGCCTGACGCCATTGTTTACTTACATAGCTCTGAGACCCCCCACCCCTTTCCAGCGCGCACGGTGAAAAAGCTTCAGTCAATCTCCACAATTGGCTATCCCATCCTCCTGCTCACCCTGCCCGAGCGCATGCTGGCACATCATGGCGGAACACACGCATCATTGGAGATCTCCACCGTGACCCTCTCGCCCTTGGGGATGTCTGAGGCCTCGCCGTGCACAGTACTCGAGTACTCAGTACAGGTAGGGACAGTACCGGCAGAGCATTCATTTACCTGGGTATAATCCTTAACCGCAGGAATGTATCGTGCTGGTACCGCCGGCTACCCCATGCTGCGGTTGTTGTTGTCGCAGCACTGTTACCGCCGTGTCTCTCTCCCCCATCCCCTACACCATCTCCTCGCACGTGTCGGGGAAGGCATCACCATGCCCGCATAGAGCTCCTGCACTCGGTAAGGACGCCCAGGCCAACAACCGGTACTCTACCCTAACCTCCCCCTCTCCTCCCCCAATTCCACAACGGCTTCGCAGACGATTCCAACATTGTTGACCCCCGGGCCCCTATATTTGTTGGTCCGCTCGAGCACCGGTGCCGGTGCGGTACATGGTACTGGTGAAGGGGTGGAAAAAAAGTCAAAAATAAATAAAAATAAACACCCTTCATCTTACCCGAAATGGTACGTCGTACATTTGCATTAAACCGTTGATTCAGACATTTCCCCTCCCCTCCCAACATTCCGGTGGCGCGTTGCGCGGTGACGATGGTCGATTTTCCAAATGTCTCCCCCCCCCCCCCCACCCCCTTCCCTTCTTCCCTTCTCTCCTCTGTCCGATGCCCATCGGCTATATGGGGTGCATCAAATTTGCAGTACCGTATTTGTATAATTATTTTTTTCAGTCGCTTCCGATACCCGATAGAGATGCCGGCATGACAGAAAGCATGCATGCCATAACTCGAGTGCCGGAGCACATCCAGAAAAACCAATCAACCAACCGACCAACCAGGCAAGAGTGAAAAAAGTATAATAATACCGGTGCTGTACTCGTACCGGTACTCTGATACCCTCCTCGAGTGCTTGTACCCTACTCGAGCACATAACCAGTCCTGCAGCCGAGCAGAACTTAATTCCCTTGTGACACCACCAGGAAAGGGTCCCTTCTTAATTCATCAGTTTACTAATCCAAATTGGCTATGACGCTAGGCCTGAAGGGGGCCCTCCAGCGCCTGATAGCACCTCCCGTACGGTATACAAGTACTTGTACTCGTACAAGTGCCATGGACCCAGCCTTAACAACCCGACTCCCCCATCGAGCTCAGGATTACCGTACCCACCGTATCGTGCCCCTCTCGTCCTCGTGCAAACCACCTGCCCTACCGTGGCCCCACCCTATCCACCCAACCGGGACGCAATGTTCTGGGGGAATCAAGTCAAGTTGAACCCCGATTAGAGCTACTGCATTCCCCGATTGATCCCCTCATCCATGCAAAGGACGAATTTATCATATCCATACGGTAACCGACGATGCGCTTCTCCTCGAGCCGGTTTTTTTTTTTTTTTTTTTGTATGGGAGGGGGAGCCCCGGCTGCGCGTCGCACACACCATCATCACTACCACAATCGTTCGTTTTTATGTGTGCCGGCACAGTAAGTAAATGCAATCTAAGGAAGGGTGAGGGAACATGCTGTGCGAGCTGCATCCATCCATCCATGCATAACATAAAATAACCGGCACATGGGTACGAGTAGAAGTTTCCAAAAAATGTCTTTGCCTGAGCGGGGGAAGGAGAAGATGGGTAGATACGATAGGGCGATGGTGAGACTTTCGTGACTCCATCCCGTATAACAAACAAAAACCTTACGGTAAAAAAAAAAGGTCATGAATCGGGCTGAATAAAGTAAAAGCATTGAGGTGAAAGAAAAATTCAGAAAAAATCCAAATTTATCTCTTGTCAAAATATTGTTATCATTATATCATATCCCCCCTCCCACAACATCATGACACCAAATGAGCTTACCGGCACCGGCACCCTTACCCTTACCCACTCGCTTCGATATCTTTGGCACGGTACTTGCACGTTGTGGTGTACAGTACAGTACAGTATAAATTCATATATCATACCGGTATACCGAGTGCGAACGTGGCTTGCGTATGATCTAGCGCGGAGATCTCATCATCACGGTATGATCCAATACCGGTAATCCGTCCTGCCCATTCTTTCGTCAAGCGAGAGAGAAAAGAAGGAAAAAAGCGAGATGGTTAATTGGTTGGTTGGTTGGTTGGTTGGTGGGGACTGCGAACACAGGAAACAGTCACAATCTGGATTACGTCGCGCACATCACGATAACGGATTAGACTGGACCAACTTACCGCTAATACGTTATGACACTGTGCTAGTTAACTGTACCGTACGAGTACCGGTAAATTGGACTTGCGGAAGGTAAATTTACAGTGGGTATGCTTTCTTCATTGCGTGATTGACACCTTCCCCACCCCTCACCACCTACGCTACCTACCACGTACGACCGTACCATACCGTATCCTACATCGTGAACAGAGAAGCCAGAGGAAGAAAAAAAAAGGGAAAAAAAAAGTCCTATGTACAAGTATGATATTAACACAGGACTTTAATTAAACGGAAAGAAAGGGAAAAAAAGAAAAAAAAAGAAAAAAGCTTCTTTCACTTTAGGGACGTTTTTCCTTTTTTCTTTTTTTTTCCTTTTCCTTCCTTTCCTTCCTTCCTTCCTTTCTTCCCCTCCCTGCAAAATCCTGACCCTGGTTATATATATTCTGATATTGCTTACAGTACTCGTACAGTAGAGTACAATACCGTAAGCTAACTTACGGAGTAATAGTCACGAATTCGACTATGATACGGGTACCCGATCCGGGACGATTACCATCACCGAATACGGTACGGTACCGCTTCTTTCTTTCACTTTGCCGGTATGCCTGAGCTCAGGAGCTCCCAAGAGGAGAAAAAGAAAAAAAAGAAAAAAAAAGATGTCTTGAACACGGGGTAAGGGTTGAGTACCGTACTTGTAGCACCCTCCCCCCCACCCCTCCTTCCCAAATACGGGTTCAATATCATACTGCAATTCGTGCAACAAATCTTTCCCGAGGGGGCGGGCGGGCGGAATGGCGACTAACTTTACTTGTGCTGTATTGCTCGTGCACGTTAATGATCACTGCGCGCTGACAGCATTTACCGGTGCGAGAGCTGTGGGGGGGGGTGGCTGACTCCGAGTTGCTTGGAATTCCCTCGCTACATCGATTATCACTCGATTTTCTTGTCCGATCGCTTCACAACTCCATCTGGCTTGTACACCCTGTCGCATGTGGGGATACGGTATGGGAGGCACGGAGTGAGGTCCCCGGAGCTACGGTGCAAGTACAACTCTCCCAGTGGTGGCGGTGGGGATACGGTGCCGAGAGGGTGGAAGGGTGGGTTTCTCCCTTGCTGCTGTAAGTGTAAGGTATATCATAACGCGCTGTTGCGCTAGAGACCTGGACTGCTGGTTTTTCTAGAACTGCTTTGACACTTTGGCAACTAGATTAAAAGGAGAGGAGTCGCTTCAGTGGTCTGGGTTAGTCGGTTGCGCCAGAATGTCCCCTTAACCATCATAAGGTACTGTTGCTCGGAAGCGCTTTTCAGCTTACGTCTTGGTGGAGCCCGGATACCAAGAGTCCCTGGGGCCAGGGTAACAACGTCTTCATAAGGGATCACCCGCCCTTGCATATACCAACAATATTACTAATCAGTGAGCATCTCACCCCGCTTCTTCATACTCGAGTACACTACTGGTACAGCTTGCGGTATATAAAAAAAATCCTAAAATCTGGAAATGAATTCAGGGGGATTTCGGGGGATTCTGATTGGAGCGTTTCCGTGGTTCGGGACAAGTGAGCAGCTGTGTCCCGGTCGCCGCTTTCCGATTTTTATTATTATTATCGTTACTTACTGCAGACTGTATCCGCTGTTCTGTAAGGAGCGGGCGGCACCTACCGAGAATGGGCTACTGTACGGTACGACGGCACTCTTGGATGGTTCGGAACGTTCCACTGACTGGCCTCGATGGCAGGAACTCGACTCCGTGGCCCGCATCGCATCAATTGCTGGCTTGTACGAGTACCGAAGATCGACTGGCGGTGGGCTATTTCCTACCCGATCTGATCACGTCTGGGCAACCGCCCCCTGAAAAGTCACGGTCTTAGTGACCATGTTTGGCTGAAGGCGGCGGTATAGAACAGGGCCCTATCCGAGTTAACTCCAGAGCCTCGGCAGCTGCGGGTGATTTACAGTGAGCCGGGAATGGCAGGGGTTCTTGAAGCCGGAAGCGGGTTGACCCCTCGAGCGGGAAAAAGCGAACCCCGGTATTTACTGTAGATCCGGTCTTGCCATCATACTGGAAGTGTGCGATCAGCCGGTGGGATGGTTGCTGGACGGTGTTTGCTAGCCTGGGCCTTTAATACCCCTAGCATCGGGGGAAACCTGAGCCCTCCAAGCTGCATTCCTGAAAAAAGATTGCATTGGAGTAGTGTATGTACTTGTAACGGTACGCCACGGAGTTGGCTGTATTTTCCTCAGGGCGTGTGGACCTCTGCAATAGCCATTGGGAGAGAAACACTTGCATTTTTCGGGGAGGGGTTCACCGCGCCATTGACCAAGTCCTGGATAAGATTGGGATGTGCTGGTTACCGGTGGGGGAATGAGAGCTACTCATACCTTGGCCCGATACCTGCATCATCCTAGCAAACAGACTTGACAAATTCCACACAGAGAGAGGGGGGGGGTAGACTTGGTTGAAAGAGACAAACCTCAAATGATCTATTCAGCATTTGTTTTCACGGAATTAGGTTTATAGATTACAAAGAGCAGACTGTCTACGTGTCATCTCAGCGCGTCGTCTTCAGCGGGGTTTTCCTCGATGCCTGTGAGAGAGGTGCTGGGTTCGGGTGATGGTCCGTGATAATGGAGGACAAGTGTCCGCGGGGGATTTGTAATTTTGTGGGGAGTGAGAGCCTGTGACTCTCATGAAAGTGGCGTGCGAGAGGCTTGGGGGTTCATGTGCCACGTGGGCGAATGTATTAATATCTGTGAAAGAAATACTAAGAAATACTCGACATGAGATGCGCAACAAGAACACCCACTGGCCTGCCATTAACGGAGGAGTAACCCCCCTCGATCCGCTAACCAATCATCTCATATATGTCATGATGAAGGATATGCCACGGCTTGCTAGATCATGTGAACTGCATCAAAACTCGAGAGCCCCTAATAGGCCGGAAATGACACCCTCGCCGCCATCCTCTCCCATCAGCTCCCCGAATCCACCTTCACCGCTTTCGCATCCTTCACCGCCGTAGCCATCTTCGCCGCCGTAGCCGACTTCGCCGCCGTAGCCTTCTTCACCACCGTAGTCTTCTTCACCGTAGCCTTCTTCGCCGCCGTAGCCTTCTTCACCGTATTCTTCACCACCATATTCCTCGCCGCCGCACTCCTCGCCGCCGCACTCCTCGCCGCCGTATTCCTCACCGCCATATTCGCCGCCGCACTCTCCACCGTATTCCTCCCCAGCATAGCCACCTTCTTCATAGCCGGCTTCCTCATATCCGCCCTCACCACAGCCACCGGTTTCATCATATCCACCATCTCCACAGCCCTCTTCATAGCCCACTTCGGCTTCCATATAAACTCCCTCTTCAGAGGCATACATCTCACCCTCCATATATACACCACCTTCTTCGCCGCCAGCATATGCCTCACCTTCCAAGTACATCCCCTCTTCACCGCATCCTTCCGCACCGTATGCTTCTTCCTCTGCATAGGCACCTTCCTCACCGCAGGCTCCCTCCTCGGCATACATTTCTTGCTGTTGTTGCTCTGCCATCATTTGCTCTTGTTGTTGCTGCTCCGCCATCATCTGCTCTTGCTGTTGTTGCTGCATCATCATCATTTGCTGTTGTTGCATCATCATTTGTTGCTGCTGAGCCATAGGACCACCCCTACCCCTACCCCTACCCCTACCCCTGCCTCTGCCCCTGCTACTTCCGCCAGCTGCACTAGCTCCCCTTCCGCGGGATGGAGTTCCACCTCTACCAGAAGCGGCTCCCCCTCTCGCTGGCCCGGGCGCCGCTCCTCTTCCGCCTCCCGGACCCTGGCCAGGTGTATCCCCGTAGACAGGCCCAGGTACTCCTCTTCCGGTACCGGTACCTCCCATCATTCCACCTCTGACTGGTGGTGGTGGCCCTCCTCTCCCGGCTCCGGGAGCGCCCCCGATCATTCCACCTCTGACTGGTGGTGGCGGCCCTCCTCTCCCGGCTCCGGGAGCGCCCCCAATCATCCCACCACCGCGCCCAGTGACGGTAGCCGTAGTTATGGTTTGCTGTTGGTAGGCCCCTCCGGACATGCCTGGTTGCATTACCGGCTGTGGGCCATTCATATTCATTGGCATGTCCCCGTTCGCCCCGTTCATACCGATCGGTGCAGGACTGTTCATGCCCATCTGCATGGCACCATTTATACTAACTGGCGGTCCACCGTTCATTCCTGCGCTAATTCCGCCGCTCATGCCCACGTGAACTCCGCCCATCTGATTCGGAATGGGACCTGGCATTGGACCCTGCATTGGACCCGGCATTGGACCCGGCATTGGACCTTGCATGGGACCATACATGGGGCTAGTCATTATAGGCGTAGGGGCATTGAACACCGCCTGAGGTCCCATATATTGTGGGTGAGCAATGGTCACACTGCCTCTACCACTAGCTACGACCCCTCTTCCCCTGCCTCTGGGGCCCCTCGTGCCGCCTTGCATCATACCTCGACCGGCTGGGGTGCCCTGCATTTGTTGAGAAAATCCCCTCCCTCGGCCGCCACGGCCCGCCTTAATCGGCTCTTTGAGTTTCTTCTTCGGCACCCAGAATGACCCGGTGTCTTCGAATGCCTTCTTAATAACAGTTGTTGAGGCTTTGGAAATGGTCTTTAACCCCTGGGCCGCCATCGCCGCTCCACTGGAAACGGTGGGTCCGCCTGGCGCGGGGGGTCCCTTTGCCGGTGGACGGGTGGTGGTTCTTTTGGTAGTTGCTTCCCCAATTGTTCGTGGGGGGACCCTCTTGCGGGGCTGCTGCAAAGTTCCTTGTGTAATGGGAGCCCTTGGAGACATGTTTTGGTAACCAGCTTGATACATTGATACCGAGGTTTGGGCTTGTTGAGATGGAAGGGTAGTCGCTGGCCGGGGGATGGCTTGAGGGTGGTGTTGTTGCTGGAATGGAGGATGTGGCTGAGCAGCCTGGGAGTGTAGTGGTTGAATATGCGGGGCTGGGCGCCCGGTTTGACTAGGGGGGGTTTGCTGAGGGTAGGCCCCCATTGTGCTGTGGTGAGGGATTGAGGGGAAATTCGCGCTGAAGCCGGACTGGGGACTATGAACCATTCCTGGGGCTGGATTCTGAGAACCTGGAGATAATGAAAGGCTCCTATCGTGGAGAATAGGAACATTGGCTGGGCCAGGTGGCGCCTGTGGCCTGGGCTGCTGTAGAGTTGGCGCTGCGGATTGTGACCGGATCTCTGGCGATGAGGAGTTTGGCACACGAATGATGTTGGTTGTTTGTGCAGCGGCTGAAGGAGGTGGAGCTGCCACACCGGTCGTTACAGAGATATCCGTGAACATCCTATCTTCCTCTGAAAATCCGCTGAATGTAGCTGAGAGGTGGACTTTCTCTTCTTTCTCCTCTTCCTTTTTCGGGGCCTCGGGGGTGAGGGATCTGGTCTTTGCAGGGGAGACTGGCTTTGGCGTCGAGGGGATTGCTGCATCGCTGCCGGCGACCTCTGCGACACCTTGGGGGAGCGGAGTCGAGGATGAGGAACTAGATTTTGCGGGCTTACGGGCGGGTACAGCGATACCAGGAGGGGTATAGTGGGTGCGGGCAGGTGTTTGCGAAGCTCGTGGTTCATAGTGGTACTGAGGGACCGGAGTTTGAGGAGGTAAATTGTTAGGCCGTGTTTGTTGCGCTTGCGCTTGCAGTTGGTGATGCGTTTGCAGTTGTGGTTGCTGCTGATGGTGCATCTGCGGTTGGGGTAGTTGCTGGTGTTGCGGTTGCAGCTGTCTGGCAGCAGCGGGGCCAACGGGGATAGTAGACGGGTGCTGGTACTGCTGTTGATACTGTGGGGCAGGAGTGGCTGAAGGACCAAACCCCGGGATCTGCTGCTGCGGTGGATAGTGGGGATTTCCCGATGTCGGAGATGTTGGTAGAGCACTTTGCTGGGCTGTATTTCCCCATTAGAACTTGCTTCGCCCGGCAGTGTAAACGCCCTAAAGCCCATCCCATAAAACTTGGGAACCTCCAGGCAAACACAACTATGTGACCACCCTTTCATCCCAACTTTTGAATATGGGCAGGAGAGAGACTCACGATAATCCCAAGAGACTGCTCCCGTCATCGAATTATGGAAGTAAAACTTCTGCTGTGACTGATCCCAATGTGCAGCCCAGCCCGGCGGGACCGGAGGGGGTATTGGAGTACCCGGGTTAGCAATGCCAGGCTGCTGCATCATCTGCTGTGGGGTAGTCTGCGTTTGATGCATTTTTGCAAACTGGGGTGCCCTATTGAAAAGGAGATCACAGGATAGGGGTTATGGGTGGGAGAGAACAAGCGGCGTCGAGACATGGTGAAGGAGAGGGGAAACAGTGGAGGGTCGATTTTCAGCCGCAGCCAGCAATCTCACTCCTGTGCTCAAGTTGGGCTTGAAGGGTGTCGTGTGATTGGTTGACAGAAGCCACTGCTTCTAACTGCTTCTAACTGGAGGGGATCAACCGAAGGTTTTGCGAGAGTAGTCCCTTTTCGATAAAGTTACGTTCTGTGTCACCTCGTGCGACTGAAGGGCAGAAAGTTAGACTGTCTTTCCTTTGATCGATTACCGGTACTGTACTTGTACTCGAGTACTGTACTGGTATGAGGATTCGGGGTCTGGTGTCGGATCCTCGTGCGGGGCTCCCTCCCCTCGCCAGAACATCAGAACCGAGCGTATCCCTTGTATGATAACTTCGTGGCGCAGCGCGCTCCCTCTTTTCGAGCACCGGTAGACTACTGTATTGTGTGCAACCGGGAGGATCTGTGAGGGAAGGGTTCGGCTAGGACGCGCTCGCTTGGGGCGATCGACCGGATTATTGTTTTTTTCCGGAAAGCACGCCGCCGCTAACATGAGCTTGATTTTTGCGGGACCCCTGACGGTCGCGGATCATCCGCCGCCGGGATTTTTTTTTCGGGCTCTAAGTAAGCGCGCTGAATGGGATAGTGAAGCGGGTGAGTTAAGTGTTGGTTCTTGGTTTGGACTGCATGCATGCTGCATGTAATCTCGAAAAGTTCAACGATAGCTACACGCGCCTGCGTGAGATTTTTTTCTCCAACCGGTCTGAAAAGTGCTTGTCAGTGCTCCGGGGCAATTCTCGAGATAACACAAAACCTTTCTCCGTTCAGAGCTACCGGTTCTCAATCCAGATGGTCCCCAAAGACCTGGTATTTTTGTTGAAAAATCGCTTACATTTCATGTCGGTGTGCAGCTATACGCCTTGATGAAAAAGATGAAACTCGAGTGCTAAATAACTTACCGGACAGTCTCCACATGATGAAGCACCCCCTAACTATGCCGTACTGTAATTTCCCTTAGAAGATTTAACGCTAAACCCCGAGCCCGGTGTCGTAGCTGTGAATGTGGCGCGTAGGGTGGCGGCTGGCTGAGTTCCACCATTGATGAGATAACCTCTAGTTACTCCTCCGGCCCTGATGTTGAGACAACCACTTCCCGAGAGGGCACCACCTGTTGGCGCTGGGGAACAACTTGTGGTTGCTGGTATTGTCGGTCCGGATTTGGGAAGACATTTCACTCCTGAAGCTGCGCAGGTGGACTTGGTTCTGTCTATTGGGGATTAACTCAGTAGTAGTTCGCTCGGCTTGAATCTGGAAATAAACCGGGTGAGGTTGGGATGAATTCGCTTGTCTGTAATGGTACTAGGTTTTATTGAATTATGCATATTTTCATCAAATGGTAACCCGAAAACCATGGGCCGCGGTAAGAGCATTCTGGATAGCGGTAGATGTGTAGTTCTTTGTGGAGGAAGGCATGATAAATACCAGCAACCCGCCAGGGTCTGTTTGAAGAAACTGGAGGGTAGTTTGTCTCAAACCTGGTGACAGGGGTTTAATCACCTTGTAAGGTTCCAAAGTCTTGAACGAATCAACAGTAATCCGGAAATAATCAACTAGTTCTCCAGAAGAATATCCGGAACAACATTCGGCGCTGAGAGTGTTGATGCAAGCCCCTTGTTTGTCCCATTTGTGCTTCCCGAAGGTCTCATCGTTACCTTGGCAGTCTTTCCAATACCGGTCTCCGTAACTTGGTAATGCGGTCTCCCCCCTTAGCGTGAATACTTGCACGAACGCCAGTGTACTCCCGGGGTGTGTCGCAATACTCCTCCCGCTTTCCATTGCAGTTGCCAGGCCAGAGTCCATGTATGGCCCAAGAGTCGGCCGCAGGAACAATCTCCGACTACAAAACCGGATGACCACCCTGGGACACCTACTGTACCTCGCTCGCTGGAAGGGTTTTTATCTTAAAATTGTGCTAAGGGAGGGTGCCCTCCCGGGTGATTGAAGCAACGGGCGTAGGGAACGGCTGTGGTATATTACGGCAGCTGGCCTGGGTATTCCAGCAACTTGGGGGAGTCCCTGCGAGGCTTGAGAGATCCGCTGTGTGGTACTTAAAAGCTATTATAGGGTAGCCTGGACAAACCCGAGAGCCAAATGATGGACCACATAAAAAGAGGCATCGCCGTTTCTCTTCAAAAACTTTTCATGAGGGCTCTCTGCGCTTAAATGCTCTGAAGTCACCATCCCAATATTTATCCTGCAGTTCCTCCTCGTGTATCCCGATTAGCCTGTCCATGAATTTCCTCACGCTTTCCCCAAGGGCTCCGATGTCCGAGATCAAACGGTCGGTTCCGGTGCAACATGGCATAGCTATGATCGGATAAGGAGATATCTCTCCCCGATTGGGCTGCAAAAGCTTAAGGTGAGGGACAACCAATTGGGAAAGTAGCAATCGATATTCTAAAGTTGGGGGGTGACCAGGGACCTCAGCGCTCGGTGGCCTCTAGGTGTTTGCTGTCTTTAAAGGTGGAAGGGTTTTTCCTCATTTTTTTATCCCGTTGGGATGGCCGTCCTATGTTAAGCATATTGGATGGTTAAGAACCGGAAAGCGTTGCTATTCTTTATCGTTGGTCTCAAAGAGGCTCATTAATTGCTCCTAACATACTCATCCTGGTCCGGTTTGTCTTTGCCAATGGTGATGATAAGTTTGGGCCCAGTATATCTGTCTTTTCCCAAGATCCCATCAACCTTCCATGTGAAGAATCTCGGGTACCAATGTCACCGTGCGAGGCAGAGAAAAACACCGCCTTCCCCGAACACTATTTGAATTTTGATCCTTGGTTCCCCTTCAAACACGACTCCGCTAACCTTAGAATAGTACCACTTACGATAATTAGTTCCCCGTTAGAATCCAAAAAAAGAGCCTGCCGAGGACGTTGAATTTTGGCTTTGTTAAACTATACGCCCCTGAGGCGCGGTATCAGTGAGATGGAGAGCAGATGTAGTAGCTTCTCGGTATACGCAGGACTCGCTGACGAGTGTTGAAGAAAAGGATAGGAAGAGCTTGAATAGAGTCGGAGAGGCTCAGTATTTATATGATACCGTAGGGACTGGAATATGGCGTTTCCTCTTCCACTATGGTCTGTTATGTGTTCATTCTACATCATATGTCTCAGTTGAGGGCTGAAAGTTCTCTTTTCAGCATGATTCCCCACGATATCCAAAGAGGGGAATTTTGGATGCCTTAAAAGTTCTGCGAGATTCAATTATTCCAGTTCTTCCAGTATGCTGGCCCGTTGAAGATTACTGCTATTGATGATAGAGGCACCCTCGTGTCTACTGGATGCAAGCTCAGAAGCCGTTGCTTTGGGAATGCTAATTGGAGAACTAATTGAAAGTAGTAATTTCGAGTACATGTTTTAGGAAACTATACAAGATTCAATGGTGTAGAGGTATCATGGGCGCTTGCCATTCAGTGTGCGCCCGACCCGGGTTCGATTCCCGGTTGAATCATAGTATCAAACATTTTTGCTCTTAACTATTTTTTTTCTCGTTAGGCTCGCCTTTGCGCGAAGCACATTAAGCACCTACACTTGCACTTTCTTGCCAAACAACTAGAGGAGTTGAGATAGGTCTAGCCCATGCCCCCTCTCATCCACGGAGAGAAGTAAAATGGTGAGAACGTTAGTGATCTAAGGTAGCCCCCCCCATTTTGTCCCCGACTAGGGCCGAGGTGGAGGGCTGGGATTTGCCGATGTTTGCACGGTTGCACGTTAGAGGTATGGTGTGTCGCCACACCTGCGCATTTCGCGATAATGGTTTAGGGTTCCAGGCCTCCTGATATACATGATCTCATAAATCTAACCACAGCGACATCGTGTTGTTAGTTTCTTTCAGACGGATTCCTGACCGCCTGTCCACATTCTCATGGGATTGTACACCCCACGTCATACGGTGTGGTACTGGTAGTCTGATTCGGTGAATCTTTGGGATCATTATATACATTAAGGATGTTAAGAGACGCGCGCGTTGAGGCGAATGTGTCGCCACCGTCCAGGTACTGTAAGATAGTAGATTGATTGATGGACGAGGGCTCAGCATCGATTCCAGTGTTCATGTTAGGTATCAATTCTCCGATGTAGGAATTATTAATAGGGACCCCTTGTTGACCACAGCCCTGTTATTTTTTGCAGTACCTATGTTCTCATCGTGTATTCGGAATCCGGTAACCAGAAAGTGTCTTTCGAAGCCAGTAGAATTTGTACTAAAATAGGATCACAACATCATGGCCTGGTAATATACCGTAAAACCTCGTGAAATCCACTATCTCCATCTGCCCGCCCCCTCTGAGAAAGGATTAGCGTTTTCCCGATACAGTAGAGATAGGACGGCTAGGTGTGTGTTTGCTCTTGCTAACCGGTATTCCCAATTGGTTAACGTAAATTACGGGGATTCGGCTCAGTACCCGAATCCCGCTCACTGCCAAGATTGCCCAAGACACTACCCCGCAGGAATGTAAATCTCCTGTATATTAGCCATCCGAGCAGATAATTGAACTCAGTAAACTCACCATGCCTTCGAATACCTACCAAAAGAGAGAAAAGAAGGAAAGAATTATCCAAGATGCCATTGCCTACTACAACGCAAGCCAAGAGCATTCCATCCGGGCCATGGGAGAGAAATTTGGGGTCGCATACCCAACTCTGTGGGGGAGACTTGGAGGTGCACAGGATTATGTGAAGGGCCACTGTAGGTTGCAGGCATTGACAGAGTATGAGGAGAAGGCAATAGTTCGGTGGTGTGCAAAGGTTGATGAGTGGGGACATCCAGCTACTTTAAGTGTGGTGAAAGGAATGGCACAAGCGATGGTACAGTGACGGGTAAAAGACAGAGTTCTTGGAAAACACTGGCTCTTGCGATTCCTTAGTTGGAATAAGGAACTGGCGTCTGAGCTGAGTACAAGATTAGATCGACAGCATGTATTTGCTAGTAATCCAGTGGTATTACATGACTTTTTTCAAAAGGTATTCACTTCTTTCTACTCCCTTACCTTCAGCTTCATAGTCTACCCACCTGCTAATATTTAATTTAGTTGCAAAATTTAATTAAATTCTATCAAATCACCATCGAGAATTATTACAATATGGATGAGAAAGGATTTCTCATGGGGGTTCCTCTCTATTGTAAAGTAATTTGTTTACGAAGTCGCCACTCACCCCGGTTGAAAATGGATGGTTGCCGGGATTGGGTAACTGTTATTAAAACTATATCTGGGAATGGAGAAGTTTTAACACCCTTTACTATCAATAAAGGCATTGTACACTATTCCAGCTGGTATGGTAGACTGAAAAAAGATGATAGGGCACTTTTTAGTGTTTCTGAAAAGGGATGGAGTAACGAGAAGCTGGCTATGCGATGGCTAAAAGAGGTTTTTGATATAGAGACAAAAGTAAGGTATGTATTAAATCTGTAAATCTAATATTAAGATATCTAAATAGGAGATAGGGCTGAGGGGGGGGTATCGGTTACTAATTCTGGATGGCCATACTTCCTATTTCAATTGGGAATTCTTTGACTTTTGTTTGGAAAACAAAATTATTCCATTATGCCTTCTAGCCCATTCAACTCACCTCCTCCAACCTTTAGATATAGGTATTTTTGGACCATTGCAATGCTATTATAGTAATGGCCTAGATAACAGGATGTGTAAAGGCATTCAAGGGAACTTTACTAAGGGTGACTTTCTTCCGTAAGTATATGTTAAGAATCCTGCGGGGTAGGTGTGTAAGGCAACAGGTAATGATTCTTACTTCGTGCGAGGTAATAGTTCTTAGGCCTTATGCCTACGCGATGTCGATAGTCAAGTCCTTTAACTTCTATCTTATCATGCCTATTCCTCTATTCTTCTTAAGTCCTCATTAGGACTTAGTCGTTCGACATGGGAGGGGAAATAGTTTTCTCGCTTGAGAGGAAAGACAATTCTTGGGTTTCTTAAGATAAATCTTAAAGAGCCTAAAGGTAGGTTTTATTGATAAACTTAAAGGTAGGAAATAAACAAGAAGAAGATGTGAAAAGCTAATACTAGGGGCCCTAGTGACCCTTTATATAGTAGCTCTTCACCTGGCGTGACTCATACTTATGTGTCACGCGAACCTTATAACTCATAACTATGAGTCATGCGGAATCCATCAGCGGACTCCTATGAGTCGCTGCACAACATAGCATACCTAAAACCAATCAAAACATAATAACCAAGTCAGGTGCGCGGCTCGCGTCACCTGAGTGAAACCCATGACTCATAGGTATGAGTCATGTGCGAAAATCATAACATCGTGTGACTCACAACTGTGAGTCACGAACGGGTAAACATAATAACCTATGGTGCACTAGTGTGTGTCATGTGAAATCCTAACATCCCTATAGCTTGGAATTGCGAGCTATGTAAAATCTGCCTTGCTTAGTCACAGTTTGTGACAGTATAACCCTTAGCCACAGGATTTAACCTTCGACTCAGAGACATCTATTTATATCTTATAACTAAATAATATAAAATAATCTAATCTATGTACATAGGGCATTCCTTCCCGTGAGAGGACAGACATTCACTCAAGAAAATATTCTTCGGACGTGGGAAGAAGTAGGGATAATACCACTGAATCCACGCCGTGTTATTCAGAGTGAAACTTGAGTGCCTCTGTAACGACCCTACGTTATAGAGCTATGGCAACCTAAGTCTACACCCATACATAAGGCCAAGAGATTATATGGTAGACCAGGCGGGCATGCCTGAGCATGTCCAGGAGATACCCGATGGTCCGGGTATCCCGAAGAACAGAAGGTACTTAAGATATAGGTGTACCTAAGTAGTGGAAGTGACGTGAC